TTTCCTCCAAAATAAAATATACATGGGAAACTGTCAGTGGAGTGAAAATAATTCTGCCCTTGTGTCATCCACAGGCGATGTCCGGACCTGGCCCTTAGGCCAAGAAAAGCTCCTTTACGACTCTGAGCCATGGTCACACTGTAAACTCTGAGCTGAGCTCTGCTCCCTTTGCACCACTGGCTGGTCCAATATGCCAAGGACCCTGTGGTTAAACATCCCCTAGTCATAGTCAAGGCTCAACACTTTTCTGACCCTACACTGGAGGAATAAATTTCCCACTTAAGTCGGGACAGCAGAGTCAAAGCCCTTACTGTGCCACAGGCTAAATGAGAACTTTCCAGATTACATCTTGACACTTAAAGTTATGACTTCTTTCTTTTCTTTTTCTTTTCTTTTTTTTTTTTTAAAGTGCTTGTGCTGTAGCACTACACACTGCACTTCAAATTTATGAGGACATACAAATCTTCTGTATTTACAATAAATCTCATTGGACAAATGTGCAGGGTACTCTCTTAACACAACAGTATTATGATCCTCTTCTCTGCTCCACCTCTGGTCATACAGCGTATTCCAAGCAGTCCTGGATTCACTAAAATATGGCCAAAAGACTGCTTCGTGTACCCATACTGCTTTTTCTAAAAACGGGGAAGAAAAAGTCTCACTGACAGTATTTGACTGTAACAAACGGAGCATGAGGATGGTCAGGAGAAAATACGATTGCACTGAAGCTATTCTGACACATATTGTCTTTCGGTTCAATACAGCTGAGACAAATTCAAGATGGTGTTCATCTTTGCGAAGAGAAGAGCAATCCTATAGGACAGTGTGTGAAATATGAGTGAGGGTGGAGTATCACCCAAATACCTGAAGGAAAACTGAAACTCTCGAGACAAAAAGCAACAGTACAGAACACAATGGTAATAAGAGACACACATCATTCACAGGAAGGCTGTCCCACACTTGCACGCAACACTGTTGACTGAAAAATTCGAAACAAGAGACTATCAAGTGTAAAAACTGTGTTCTCCCTCCCAAAACAGGCACACAAAAAATAACCATCTAAATCATGAACCTCAGAACCCAAAAACACTCACTGCAGAAACATATAAAACAGAAATCATGAACTGTATACAATGGAATCAGAATATTTGACAAATTTATGGTTTATTAAAATAACTCCATGCCAAAAACTTAAATTTACAAAATTTTTACTACAGGAAACAAAAGACAATCATTCTGTTCTGCTCTCACACACCAGAATAAATTAATGAAAACCTCACAAACCGCAGCATCTTGTGGTCATGCCATTATCAGGTTTTCAAAACTACTTGCAGAAGCATTCAGGGTTTCACTGTGATCAGACCCATTATGTGGTCTGAGTGAAATCCAGTTGCATGCTACACAAACGTGCACTGATATGATGCTTGAAAAACTAATCTTAAGAATCAGATCTAAAAAGTCACATAGACTTGACCAACTTGCCACGTACGCTGAGCAGTAGTGAGAGCAGCCTGACGGCCAGCAGAGGTTTTACTGAATGACTGTTTTTCCTCTCAGGTGCTCATCGCAGCCCAGCTTGTCTGCACAGCCTCTAAGCAACAGCACCGTTATAAAAGGCCTTGCCCTTTTGGTTGCAATTTGTCGCTTGCCTTTTCATATTTTGACTTTGGTCAGGATGAATAAAACAATGCGCATGCATAGTGGATGGTGACAAACACATAAGAAGTTCCCCACTTAGCCAGCCCATGCCACTTTAAAACCCAGAGACATGTCCAACAGGGGAGAGTGTGAGCCGGGACGTGTGTGATGCAAGCTCTACAACGCCATACACCCTTAAGTACCTAAAACCATTTTTCCTTCACAGCTTCTGTGTTTGCGTGTGTCACTTTGATGCCAAGGAGCCAGAAGCAGTCTGACTCGCACAGAAAGTTGGCTTTATCCATTAAGGACCTTCTACTGGGCCTAAATCATTGATACAGTCAAGTGTTCAAAGCCTGCTGTTACATCAGAAGTTTAATTTTTAATGAACTGCTTTAGACACATTTGTCTAAAGCAGAAACCACCAGGCTGCGGGTCATACGCAGGTGAGGGGGTATCGAAACAAAAGGGGGGATGTTATAATATTACAACAGCACAAGAAGAAAAAGCTAAACAAAAAACACAGAAAAGACAAAAGTCACTGTATTTGATAGATCATAGTTTCTTTGCTAATGGGAAGAGAGAGTGGGGAGGAAGACAACAACAGGCTGATGAAAAATTACTGCCAATTACCACTAACTATATAAACAGTATGTCACTGTTTGAGCTGCGGATACTGAGATCTACCATTCAGGTCTTTACTTTTAGACAGTGGGCTATAAGTTGGTATAAAGACATAAGTGGCTCAACAGCAGAGGGAAATAAAGTAGGTGGAAGAGGTCAGAGGGTGTTAACAGTTGTACACAAAGTGAGTCAGACAGAGCTCACTGCAGGGGTCCTGCCCAAGTGCTGCCCAGCATCTACCTGCAGCCCCCACAGAGCACTTCATATCCAACCTCAGTACAAACCTGTGTCTGTGTGTGTGTGTGTCCATGCATGTGGGATGCCTCCTACACACCTAAGAAAGAAAGAAAGAAAGAAAAAAAAAAAACCCAACACACACACACAGGAACGTGTCTCCTAACAAATGGCGGTGATTTAACACACCAGGACAGCAGTGGAGGCGTAAGCAGCGCCGCCCTCGCTGTCCCCCCTGCTGAGGAGCGCTGCAGCTCAGCAGAAAGGACCGCCAGGGGAAAGTAGGTCAGGCTGACCTCTGCGCTCGGCATGTCAAACGTTCAAAGTGAGCTAAAGGGACAGGCCATGTCAGAGCCCTGCTCCTCACAGCTGGGGAGGAGGAGCCACCCCGCGCACATGGTCAGGGACCCAAGGGAGTGGACTCGGCATGCTGGGACAGACATGCGTATGCACACATACCAGTTATGACACAGGGACGAACACAGAGGGAGAGGAAGAGTCACACTGTGCTCCAGCATCAATAAATCAATGCCACTGTATGGGCCTTACTAGTTTCAAACCATCTTTCTATAACTTGAGCTTTTAGACAAAAAACAAAAGTGGAGGGGGGAGGGGTAAAAAAAGGGAAAAATGAATTGTATGTGGGCTCTAACCAACCAACACTCTGCCCATTCTTCTGTTTCCCACAACTAACAACAAAGACATATTAGCCCATTTCTAAGTTTATCCGAAGCATTCCAGAGACCAAGTGAGAGCTGAGATGACCTGGAGGTGCTCTTAAAGTGTTTCGATTAAACTCCATCGGAGAGAAACTTAAATGCTGCTGGATTTGCTGCCTTTGTGATCAAAGTGTTCTCTGTAGCATTGCAGTTTGTGGGAAAATAAGCGGGGGTAAACGTTGTCAGGAGCCAGTGGTTAAACATTACAGTGACCTTCATCACAGTGGCTGCTCATAAAGGCAAACATTCCCAATAAAAAATAAAAAAATCATTCCAGAGTTCAATTTACATTTTTACAAAAGAGCAGGTCTTCAGAGAAAACGTAAAAGCAGGCAGTTTCAAGCTGAATGTAAGGAGAGGTTAGTTCAGGTGACACTGCCTACGCATTCCCAGCATCCTTCCAGTTTTAAGTTTATCCCATTTTGTATGAAATCAACATGTCTTTTCACATTAACAATGAAAAAGAAGACAGAATGTACCACAGGGCTTTTAGAGTAGGAAAAAAAATAGCCATGTAAAAATACTATTCAGGCCTATTGCCACATTTAATATCTTGTATGAAGCATCTGTACAGAAGAGGGAGAGGAGAACGACAAATCAGACAAACTAAAGCAAACACCCTTGCAAATACTATCGCTAAAAAGATGGGACCTCAACCTCTGACTGACCTGTTACCAAGTCTGAATGACGAACCAATACAAAAGACTTGAGCTATTGCTGAGATGGATGCTTCAGATCTGTTCAGAAATAGAGAAATACGATCTCGTGGGTGAATGAATTGTAAGAGGGAGGGAAATAGCTGGTTATTGAGTGGATGAGTGAGTAAAA